TCGCACGACAGTCGGGTCTAAGTAACCGGAACAGACCCAGATTTTTATCCAACTAAAGCAACATTCTTCGAAATTACTTCAGGCTTTTTTCTGTCTCAACAACAACAAACGTTACCACACGACAATGTAGGTAAAAAACTTCCCACAACAAACGAGTCTGCGGATTCGGGTTTTTACTCAGGCTGCTCTTCAGTTTTCTTCAAATTTAATTTGTAGCATTTTCTGACTTTACAACAACAACAACAACATTGCTATAATAAATTATATTTTTTTTTGTTTTGGAAATATAAACAAAATTCCATGTTAACAGATTTGCTTAAAACGTGTTCAAAATTTGCCAAAACAAAAATCACAACAAAAAAATAACAAAAATTTGTTTAATATTTTACACTAGCAGAGCACACTTGACTTGTGCATTCTGCAAACTACAATCACTCAAAAGCGATTTTCGAAAAACAAAAACTAATTATAGCAAACACACACACACACACAAAATAAGCATTCTGAAAAGATTAATAACGACATATTATAAAATAATATAAAACAGAATCGTTAAGCAGCTTACGAAAATCACAACAGATGGTTACACTCGCTATTTTTAAAGATGAAGAAATGTCCTTACACACATTCCTACAAGAAAGAAACTGTTACATACATACATACATATGTACATTACATTTGCGTATTTATAAATGACTCATATTGTTGTTGTTTTTTAGTGTTTTGTGGTGGCGATCTGTCTGTGCGGCATTTCTGCGACAGTAATTTATGCTGTTGTTGTTACGTGTTTTAAGACATTTTGAAAATAATTTTGGGAAGCACCATTCATATCAACTGCTACTAATTTTTACAGCTTTTATAAAATTATACTGATAAAAACTGGTTACTTTCTAGAAAATTTATCCATCGTGGTACAAGATTTAATATCAGAAACATTTGAGTCTTTTTTTGATATTTGATCGAATTTTAATTATAAAATAATGTTTTTTTAAGGGATTACGGGATTACATGGGTTTTCTCGAGCAAAAGCGACATATTTTCCAAATTTTTTTTTTTTTCATATAAAAATAAAATATTTTATTCAAGATTTTTATTCAAAAAATACATATTTTACAGAAGATGTTGTGAAATTTTCAAAGGAAAATATTCAAAATTCAGTCTTTACTACCGGATGGAGAGCACAACTTATTACATGATCAGTCGAAGTAAAAAAACATATTTGTGTTTTAATTAAGACCATGAATTAGGTACTGGACGAAGTAAAAAAAAAATGTTAAAAAATGTTAAAACTGTTATTTTTGGCACAGGTTTTCACAAAGAATTGCATATTTTGGTGAACAGATTTCGAAACATATTTTTTTTAAATAGTGGTAATTGAAAAAAATCCTTCGAAAAATGACATTTCGAAGACTTGTGAAAAATTTCATTAAGGGGCTCATCTCGTGTGAAGACCGTTTTTTAATGTTTTTCTCGAATTATTTTAGATTGAAATGAAAAAGCATAGAGTTTCCAAAATTTTATTATATATGTACATATATATTAAACTTTTAGTTGTGATTTCGAATTTTTAAGCGAAGATATTTTCCTAATTGCGAGATTTATCACTCTAATAGCAACCGTGAAGAAAAAAAGTAAACAAACGGCGTCTATGATTCCAGGAGATTTGCTAACCCAAAAGCCAGGGACATGGTATGGTCGAAAGAGATTTGTAAAAATATTTTTTTATAAACTCGATAATTTCCTTTGTTTTTATTTTTATATATATATTTTTCAATTGATTGCCTTTAATTTAATTTAATTTTTTAGTTTTTTTTATTACATTTTATCTCTTCTTTATTTTATGAGATTACATTTATTTTAGTTTACATTATTTTATTGAAAAATTTTTTTTTATTTTTGTCTATAAACCTCACAGTCGTCATATTTGCGTTTCAGCGCGCACTCAAAATACGCGAGCCTGTTACACCAGCCGGGGATGTGGGGGTCTTGCCAAAGAGCGCGCGAGTGCCAACACTGCGGCCGAATTAACGTAGATTATTAAAATTTTGCGATGCAATTTTGTATCGCTGCAGTAAATCTGCAACGCATGTGTGCAAAAAAAAATTTTCGAGATGCGTAAGCAGTCAAAGCATTTCAACCTCGTCGTTGGGTCCGCCCCACAGCCCGACAACCCCAAAATTCTATTAGTGCGGAGAAATTTTCATTGGTCTCGTATTTGGCGGCAGTCGTAAAATAAGCCGCGATGTTTGTCTAGAAGAATTTTTCGATATTTCTTATTTTTTGTTTTGTTCATATGTATATACAGATGTAAAGGGTGATCCCTTTGGAGATACCCAACTTATTTTAAAGAAAAAACACAGAAGCTTCAAATTTAATGGGTATTGTTTAATACCATTCGAAAGAGTGTTCTTTGGATTTTATATTTTGAAGATTATCTCTTTCAAAGGGTGGCCGCGCCTACGTCTCAGATTGTTCAATTTTCCAATTTTTGAATCCAATTTTCGATGACGTGTTCGAGCATTTCCTTTAGGAACAAGTCTAACGATATCCCACGATCTTGGTGGCTAGTCGACCGGCCCAAATCGTAAAATTATCTGCTCACAGAAGTGTTCTGTCAATAAATCCATTGATTCATGCGATGTGTGGGAAGTGGCGTCGTCTTGTTGAAACCAAATGTCGCCGAGATCACGAGCTTCAATTTCAGGCATCAAATATTCGGTTGTCATGGCGCGATAACAGTCGCCATTGGCGGTTATGTTCTCATCAGCATTTTTGAAGAAATATGGTTCGATGATTCCACCGGTCCACAAACCACACCAAATCGTTGTTATTTCTAGATGAAATGAGAGCACTTGAATCTCTTCAGGTTACTCTTCATCTCAAATACAGAAATTTTACTTGTTTACATACATACTGAGCCAGAAATGGGCCTGATCGCTGAACAAAATTTTGTTCGAAAACCTCTGATCTTCTTGGAACTTTTCAAAAGCCTATTGAGCGAAGCGACTCACGCGTGGTCTGTAAAAAAAAACGTTTGAAAAGGTTGCTCTACCTGTATCACCCGTTATATATATTATTTTCGAGTGCATGTGTTTGTAGCAGTATTTTAAATTGTTATTTGTAGCCGCCGAGGCTGCGCCGCGTGATGATTTTCGCGACGAGCTGAAAACAAGTTTCCCAGTTTTTTCAAATGAAAACACAAACAATCATTCACTTTTCTTTACATACATAAGAACATACATGCATATATATAAAATTTTTTGTAATTATGTACATGTATATGTACCGTAGATTGGTTTTTTTAGTGTTGATTTTTTGGTCGGTTTTCTGAAGACACGCCATCACTCAGTATGCTCTCAATGAGTCACCAGCCATGTTGGCAATAGCATCTGGCATTTTGGTGGCGAACAGTTGGTCAATCGACTTCAAATTGAGAGTATTTATAAACATAAAATTGCTATTGTAATATTTGGGTCACACGTGTAGACCCAAGCCTTTTTTGCTTGCCCTTCGTAATCGACGCCATTTTTATACCCTGAACAGGGTATATTAAGTTTGTCACAAAGTTTGTAACACCCAGAAGGAAGGGAGACCCTATAAAGTATATATATAAATGATAAGTATGTCGAGCTGAGTCTATTTAGCCATGTTCGTCTGTCTGTCTGTAAGTATATATACGAACTAGTCCCCCAGTTTTTAAGATATCGTTTTGAAATTTTGCAAACGTCATTTTCTCTTTAAGAAGCTGCTCATTTGTCGGAACTGCCGATATCGGACCACTATATCATATAGCTGCCATACAAACTGAATGATCGGAATCAAGTTCTTCTATGGAAAACTTTTACATTTGACAAGATATATTCACAAAATTGGGTATAGATTATTTTCTAAGGCAACAATGTAATCTCCGAAGAAATTGTTTAGATCGGTTAACTATATCATATAGCTGCCATACAAACTGAATGATCGGAATCAAGTTCTTCTATGGAAAACTTTTACATTTGACAAGATATATTCACAAAATTGGGTATAGATTATTTTCTAAGGCAACAATGTAATCTCCGAAGAAATTGTTTAGATCGGTTAACTATATCATATAGCTGCCATACAAACTGAATGATCGGAATCAAATGCTTGCATGGGAAACTTCCTCATTTGACGATATATCTTCACGAAATTGGGCATGAGTTATTTTTTATAGAAATAATGTAATATCAGAAGAAATTGTTCATATCGGCTCACTATAGCATATAGCTGCCATACAAACTGAACGATCGGAATCAAGGGCTTGTGTGGAAAAGTAACCGAAGTTAACGTTTTTTCTTGTTCTTCCTGGTTTCATTCTCGACAAAAATTTTAACCAGACTAGCCTAGTTTACTCATTTCTTTCACTTTTGACTTTTGCCTCTTTGAAAACTTTGGCCTATTTTCTTGTTGCACGTCCGCCAAAACGTAGTCTGCAAGTACATACATAGTTCAGTTTTGGTTGTCTCGTTGGATTGCTGGTAGTTTCGCTTCTTATCTACTCATCATTCGCAGGCAAAATACAGTAAAAATCTAAAGAAACCAGGTTCAATGGCAAATCATTCAATAAGTCCACGGATCCTCACAAACTTCTGTATAATTATTCCAAGACATTTTAAAGTTTCTGTTTTTCTTGTTTCAAGTCTTTCATTTGTTTTCCAACCCTTCCTGAGACAATTTTGAGTGAGAGGACCGTATTAAATGTTTCTTTAATTACTTCTTAATTAAGTTTCACGGGCCCCTGCCAAGGACTGTCAATTCGGAGACATTCCTCAAAATTACTTCAGGCAGGCTAAAACAACAGCAACAGCAAACTTCCCAACCTGAGCAAAAATTAATGCGCCTTCAAATGGATATATCTTTGGCTACTCAAAGGGCGTGAGCTGCTTAACCGATATGTAAAAATTTTGCTTAGTTTACTTAATTTACTTAATTATAGTTACTTTATTTGCAAAACTTATTTTCTCGTCGTTATATTCTTATAGTACAGAAAAAAATATTCTGGATGCTTTATTAATCTAAAACAAAAATTAAATATACAAAAAGAAAGTAATGACTATAGAACTACGTCCATCAAGACTGAGGCTTCACTAGGAGTGTTATAAACTTGAAATTTGAAATGCAACTCGATTTAGGGGTATTTACAACTAAATCTCCCTAGCTCTTCGATGCACATTCAAAGTCGCTAGCGTTATCGTTCGTGGTTTCCTGGTCGGTTGTCAATTCCGCAACAACATACATCGCAGCAATGCTACGAATGTCAGGGCTCGATAGTCTTTTCTTTGCTCTATATACTTGACTCCTTTCCGTATTAGTTTTGGCTGCTTTTTTCGGTGGCCTGCTAGCACGCTTTCGCTCTCTGTATTCCCTCATACGTTGTGTCGATGTTTTACTCTGTTTACTAGTTGACCAATTGCTTGTTGCCTCCTCATCAGCTGGTAGTTCGGCAACTCCGTTTATGTCAGTATTTTCGTTCGGGTTTGTCTTCAATAATTTTTTCCTCTCCCTGTATTCTTGGCTTCGCTGCTTTCCACTCTTCGCCTGCCTTCTCGGTGGTTTCATTGCACGTTTTCTTGCTCTGTACGCTTTCGCACGTTCCGCAGCTGTTTTCGCCATTGCTGTTGACAAATTGTGTTGGTGAAAACGCGAACTATGACATTTACTATCTTCAATGTACTGGAATCTAGTAACTAGATTGAAAAACTTACCGTTGCAATTTCTAATTATCACACTAAAAATTTCATTTATACATTTATCACTTTTTCCCTGTATATACACGTTCGTTTGTTTTGCTGCTGCTTTCGCTATTAATGTTTACATGTTTGCTGTATAATTTCAGTGGGCAGCGTGGTAAAATCAATTGACTGCGACGATGTTGTGTAGCGCACAGCGTTGCCACACATAAACTGCTTTCGAAATCAAAATCTCCAAAGAATTTCTAAATCCACTAGTTTTTTTTTATATTTATATATTCGTAAGTGTGTTTTAAAATACATTTGTATATGTACATACATATGTACGTACATATCACATACTAAATAGTATACTCTTTATCTGCAGGTATGCATAGGTATGTTATGGTATAATGTTTGTATATTAGATAACTGTAACAAGTGTCTCCGGCATAGTTTCTGGCATATAGTAATTCTACAGTTATAAAAACGACATACATTATTAAAAAAGCAGAAATTATTTTCCAATGGAAAGTATTATCCAACTTAATATTTTCCATTTTTTTATTTAAGTGAAAATCGTTAAGACCTTGCAATAAAATCGATTGCCTGCAATGAAGTTATGTGAGAAACAATATGTCATCACACTCGCCGTATATAGAAAGTCATCATAGTGAAAATTAAACCGGCTTGCATATTTTTTACATTCAAAAAAAAAAAAAAATAATAATAATAAAAAGAAAAGGTTGCCATATATTTAAAATATTTTAAAGATATATGCATCGTATAAATAAACTCCAAAAATGGAAAACTTTTGGATAGTTTAAGGATTGAAAAAATTTTAGTGCAAAGTTGCCACCTGTTTGAATTTTCAAAATACATAAAATATTACTATATGTATTTAAAAGGAATTTCGATTTTTTTAAAATAAAAAATCAACTTAAAGGGTTGTCAATTGCGTTACGAACTTAAGAAATGAATATTTTATTAATATACATAGATAGGAACTTCTTGCCTTCAAGTCTTTGAACAAATGGTTAAAATGTATTTTGTAAAAGGTTGTTTGTACTTTATTTTGTAATCAGTTAAAATTTTAAAATAGTTATTTCAATATGTACATCAAACTAAATACAAGAAACAAATAAAAGAGTTGCCAGATGTTTTCAGATTTAAAAATGAATAATAAGATAAACACTTCCCGCCTATAAGTCTGTTAACAGAAGTTAAGGGTAAATTTTTTTTTTCAAAAAGCTGCCACCTGTTTTAATTTTATTTTTTATGCAATTAATTTTCAAAATATATAAGATAACAATATATGACGATTTTTCCATAAAATCTTGCATGCGGAAAATGTTCGACGGATCATTCTGAACAACTTTGGCTAACAGACTAGGGTCTAAAACTGGTTTCAGGCGAAATTTAAAAAATAATAATCTATAAAAATTAATTTAAATAAAATAATTATTGTATGGAAGATATGTACATATGTGACGTATGAAGTTGTCTGATCTGACTGATTCCGACAAATAATAGAGTATCAATATCCCCTACCTACTAAATTTCATTCGGATATCTCAAGAGCTGGCGAACAAATTTTTATGATCCCGAAAAAAATTCGCTTCTTAAAAATATTATTACTGGCGACAAGTCTTGGATCTATGCTTATGATCAGGAAACAGACGATCAATCGGTCAAAAATCAAGGTTATGTTGACAGGGTTCTTCGATTATCGAGGTATGGTGCACTCCGAATTTCTTCCGACCGGCCAAACTGTCAACAAATAATACTATTTGAGTTTTATGCATCTTAAGAAGATGGCTGAATTATTGCACGACAATTTTTAGTTTTTGTACCACAATAATGCATCGTCGCTAACTGTATTGATTTTTGGCAAATTTTTCGCAAAATTTTCAACTGGCTTCCGGCTTTCAGCAATCTGAAACGACCGCTCCGGAGAACTCGGTTTGAGTCAATTGAAGACATTAAACCTGAATTGCTGCACGAATTGCCGGCTATTCCGGAAATTTACTTGAACAGCTATTTCGTGGAGTAGAGAAAATGTTGGCACAAGTTAATTGGTGATTACTTTGAGGGAGACGACATAAATTTTGAAGATTAAATTAAGAGTTTTAAAATTTTGAACAAAGTCTTACTATTTTTTGCTTATGTACGTATGTAAATATGTATGTATGTATATCAAACTGAAGAGATTGAAAATTACTCACAGTGGAAGAAGTTATTGAAGCGACCCATAAAAAAATTTAATCAACTAAACGAATCGTTATATTTAATTTTTGAGAACGGTTGATCTCTGGTTTTCAATTTAATCCATAAAATAAATTTAAAAATGCTTCATTAGAGAAGAAGAAGAGTTATTCACATCACGAGTCAGAATTTTCATTTAAAATTTTTGAAACATATGTTTCAATACTTTTGGGTACAGTTTATGGAATAAAAAAATCAATTTCTTAAACCGTCTAACCCGATTTCCCCCTTAAACGAATCGTATAGGAATTGTCACCTAGGAAAGACTAAATGAATTCCGAAAATTGCATTTTTGAAATTGTGAACGAATTACTATTTTATAATGCCAATATTTTTAAAAATATTATAAAGCTAATTTCCCGCTAATCGTTTGATTCCCCGAAAAACTCTCGAGTCATATTAGAAATAAAAATTTACGCATAAATTAGAAATGAAATTCTTAGGAGATTTATGTGAATACGCTGAATTATAGAAGTCAACAAAAATACGCACAATTTCGCACGTTCAAGTTAAAAGAGAACATTTTATGTTAATGCTCGTATTTATTATTCTATAAATTTTCTAAATAAAAGTGATTTCGAAAGACACATGAACATATTTATATTAGACGTTTTAATTTATTAGATTTAATCGAAAGTAGAAATTCGGTTGTTTTTATTGTTGTATCCATGTTTTATTCCAAAAATATTTATGTAAAATGCTGCCGAGTTGACGCTTCTTAGGCAGACAAAAAACCGAACAAAAAATGATCTGCGTGACGAACAGACAGTTCTTTAGACATTTTCGTCTATCCTCTATATACATATACGAGAACTAGTCCCTCAGTTTTTTAGATATCGAACTGAAATTTTGCATACGTTCTTTTCTCTCAAAGTCGTTGCTCATTTGTTGGAACTGCAGATGTCGGACCACTATAGCATATAGCTGTCATACAAACTGAACGTTCGGAATCAAGTGCTTGTATAGAAAACTTTTTCACTTGACGAGATATCTTCACCATTCATTTCACTTCATTTGGAATGTGTTATTTCCTAAGCCCATAGTGTAATATCCGAAGAAATTTTTTAATTCGGACCACTATAGCATATACATAGCTACCATACAAACTGACTGATCAAAATCAAGTTCTTGAATGGAAACTTTTCTATTTGTGAAGGGTATTCTAGATTTGGTGCCACCGGAGTTAACGTTTTTTCTTGTTTTTCTTAACTGTTGCATATTGCTTTACTTTTAGGCACTCTAAAGTGCATATACGCCTAATTATAGGCATCGTTATCCATTAATAAGTCCTTGAGTGAGGCTATGGGGTTATGCGCTTAAGTAGTTTAAGTAACGCTTCGGCTAATGCGCCTAATAGTAGGCAATATTCTAAATTTATTAATAACTTTATCACTTCAAGTAGTTGCTATATCTATATTAAAACATATGTACACAACATTTACCGACCAATTTTCCCTTGCTATAACACGTACATTCGTTTGGCCCATAAACTATAGCTCTAGCGCTGAAACTGTGAGCTGACTCAGCGAAAAGTCGAAATGGATTCGTCAGCGACATTTACGACGCTTCAGTAAATCATTGGTGTAGAAGTGCCTCAACTAGTCAAAATAATTTGATGTTGCTGTAGCAACGCACTCGCCAATGAATTTAGCACATATGTAGCTACATATGTCTATGTATATAGCTATAGGTATATATGTATGTGTGTATGTTTGGCAGAACGTCTCCTTAATGTCCAAATCAAAGACTTTTCGAAATATTAAATCTGTTGGGCCAAGTTAATGGCACTGCAATAAATTTATATACTATTGTGTTAATATTTATGTATGCGTGTGTGAGTGTGGTGTTGATTTCTCTGAACCGCAAAAAGCTGCGGCAATTTTCCTCACCAAATATTTATGACTATATAAATTTTCTAAGTTTTCACACGGTGCGCGTGAAACGTATATTTTTCATCAATTTCAATAATTTATAAAGAATTCATCTACAACCGACCACCTCCCTCCCGCCAACGTCGCCTTCGTCGCGCTAGTTCACTTGTAGACTCATCACAATGATTTGCACCACATACGGACAATTATATATATATATGTATATATACATATATGCATATGTATATCTATATACATATATATATATAGATGTATATGTGTATATGTGGTTGTGTATGTTATGTAGGCTTGTCGGTTCATTGTTGAGCGACGCTGAACGAAAATTGTTTAATTGTGCAAAAATTTGCTGAGTGCTCCGCATCTGCTGCATTGGAATGAATGTCTCATACAAAGTGATATTTTATTGAAATTACCTGTAATATAATTGTTGATTTATGCATGTGGAAATGCCATTTATGTTAATGTGCGATGCTTGTGAAATTGTAAATTATTGCATTGGCTTTGAAATATAATGAGCAACTTGGCGAAAGTGGAAAGAAAGTAGCGATAAAGTGGCGAGGGCAATCTAATACACGCGGGATCGGGTATGCTCGGCTGGTCTAAGAATGCTAAGTATTTGGGTTTTAACTAAAATTAATTGTAATGATAAATAGTACTCGCAGTTTCAACAGTAATTATGCTTCAAAGTTTAGTGCATTAGTATTGATTTATCTTTTTCGTACAGTTGGAAAACGTCAAGATCACGCTAGAGTGATCAAATTTTAACCAGACTGACAAAAAGTCCTTTAAAATAGGCACTTGAGCGAATACAAGCATGCCAACGCTATATTTCCAATCGCCTGAGTTGGCTGAGATTTCACCAGATCAAATTTGAATCGGATTGACAAACAACTTCTCCAAAAAAAGCTCTTGAGCGAAAACAAGCACGTCAACGCTTAATACATTTTTCCATACGCCTGAGATGGCCTCCATTGTCTTAACAGAAATTTGTTTCTTTCGATTT